GTGTTGGTGTTGTTCCTCTGATGGTTGTTTTGTGACTGGGGAGCTTGTTCTTGGAGTAATTTGTTCCATTTCTTCTTTTTATGTAGGATGAATGCTGTAGAAAGTTTTTCATAGTCTCTTTGTATCCGCTGTATATTGTCAGGGAACATGCATGGTTTTCTATCTTTTAAGTTGTTGTAGTGTATGACAATTTCCTTCCTGAGTTGGTCTCTTTTGGAGTAGAGTAGGTGAAGTAGATGATTTCTAATTTTCTCTGACTCACTGACTCAGCTAAAAAATGAGGGCCCAGAAACAGCATTTTGAGACAAGGAATTAAAGGCATATTGGGACAATGAGTTCCACAGCTGGAGGTGTGAGGGAAGGGACGAGACACAGACTACAGATCAAATTAGGGTTTGAAGGAGAACAAGCTGGGCTAACGACATTCAATTATGCACCCCAATACTATAATGATGACCAGTAGTATATAGCCCTAAAGCAGAGTTATTAATATGGTAACTTTTAAGAAATGTACGACTTAGAAGGTAAAGCCTGCCTGGAAGAACTGCAAGTTTCCTCAGATGTTCTGTAGGGCTGATGTCTGAACTTTTACAATACTGGGACTGTAGTGAATAGTGGAAAAAAAAGATTTATTTCTTGAAAGTCTGTCTGCCCTCTATTCTTCCATTCTATCCAGCAACATAAGACAACAGTTTTGCTTCAACTACTAGGAAACAAGAAAGAGATGTCCATTAAAATGATGAATTCAACACGCAAGAAGCAGCAGGATTTTGTTTTTCTGCCATCAGCCAGGTTCTGCTTTTATACTCAACCGTTTCTTTAAATGTCCTTTATCTCTCTCCAGTGGGATGCAAAGTAATTTGTGCCAAGATTCAGCCATACTTTTTTCCAGACCACAGAATAAAGTTAATAAAAAAAACCAAGCAACCTGTGGGCAGATGCCATGAAAAAACCAAGCCCTGGAGGAGGACAAGAAAAAGTGAAATTCTTCTCAAGAACAACTGCCACAACGAAGAGGAATCAAGCAGGAAGACTACAAATTACAGCTGGTCCTTATCAATTCAAAAAAGGCAAGAGAAATTGGCAATTACTTGGAAACAGATGCACTAAATTCCTAATGACAAGAATGAACAACAAAAGTGCAGAGCTTTTCGCTCCTTCCAGTGTATGCTCATATATTCTTTTGAGGTTACAAAGTTCTCTCTTTAGCCAGTTTCTTATATTGCTCTCACACACCTCTCGTGTGAAAATAGATGCACGTATCAGACACTATATGACCTACAATGGAAACTTATGTTCAAAATCCAAATGAGTCACAGACAGTAACTATAGAACTAATATTCTAAATACTAATATTAATAGAGTGCAGTCAATATATACTTTTTCGTCCCCTCTTTATTTGAAGTTCTTTTGCCATTTGTAAAGCTCTCTACCAAGCAGTCCCCATGTTTCTTTGTCTGTATGTGGGTTGAGAATGCCCTTGTGTTTGACTTAAGCTGCTGCTTACATAGGAAGAAAAATACGTTACCCATTAAGTCTTTGACATAACTCAGTGTAGAATCAATTTTCCCTCCAATGTGATATAGTAAAAACATTAAAGCTGTTACAAAATTACCCATCATTAACACACATTATTATTGATACTGGCAAACAATCAGGAAAACCCCCCACTGGCATATAGTATTTTCAAGCCTTTTTTTTTAATGAAGTTGAAGTCTCCCAACCAACATTAATCTGTTGGTTAGTTGATATACAGTCTATTTCAGCTTCAAAAATGGTAACTGAGGCTATTGGTTTTGATTTTCAAACACCGTACAACAATATTTTAGAGCAGCGGTTTCAAATTCATCCAGCCCCACAGGACAGATGAGGGTCGCTGGGTGAGGCCTGTCCATCAGGGAGCTGTGTGCAGCACATGCCCCTAGCCAGTACTGTGCACCATGTGCAAAGCAAGCCCCAGAATACTCAGTACTCTGCTCCAAGGAGAGCAAGGTCTCTTCTAGCTTCTCACCAACTCTTTTTTTCCCCACCCAATGCCAGATGCCTATCCTACAAGTAGGCAGATTAAAAGTTAAAGCCCTGCAAAAGCTTCTCCACCACAATCAGGAGGTTTCACAAAGCATGAACATCAAGAAATAAGTGGGGAAAGCAGCCAGGACAACTGCAAGGAACAATAGTAAGAATGAATAAAGGGGAGGGGGAAAGCCCTGTTGGAGGGGTGTGTGCTTGGCATAAATTTTAGTTTATTTATCTTTATTTTTCTCTCAACCTTTTAGGACTACACAAAACTGTCTAATGCAGGACTGGCCAAGGGGCAGCCCACAGACCACATGCAGCATGTGGGCTCCTGCCCAGCTACCACTCCCCACATTACTCCTGTTGTGGCGATAGCTGAGGTCTCTGGGCTTCCCCTCCGCCTTCCATTTTCTGCCCCTGCCTCAGGATACCAAAGCTACATGCACGGCAGGAATACCAGGGTGCCCAGGGCAGGAAGGAAAGAAGCAATGTGTGCAGGAGCAGCAGATGGGAGCTAGCCACATAGCTTGCCTGGCTGGAGAATAGGGCTGCATGTGCAGCTGGGATAGAGCTGGGCTGCCAGGGGGGAAAGGGATGCCTGCATGGCAAGCAGCCTGCGCAGCATGTGGCTCTGGCATCCCAGAAGCCCTAGTCTAATGCAGACTTCTGTTAGTTATAAATTTTGGGACTAAAAAATTGTCTGCAGCAAAAAAGGTTATTCTGTAAAATAAATCAATGCAGCAGTGGGAAGAAGAAGGAAACATTTAAGAATTTTCTTCTCTCTGCATTTAAAAAATGTTTAAATTTAACCAACTTAGCTTTGAATCGACTTTCTGTTCCCAAGAGGAACTTCCTCATGGCTCTGCCTTTCACTTAATGCAAGAAAAGATAAGCTACCATCTGATCTTTGTTTTGCCCTGGAAATTTAGCAACCTACTGTTACGACTCTTTAATTGGAATACCTACCTAGTAAGCAAGTTAGGCTATTTGAGCATACATAGGTGGCAAGTAATTATTTATTTTTATTTTTTATTTTTAGAGGGAGGTTATATGCATCTTAATCTGCACGCATAGTAGGACTTAGTATTCATGTATGGCAAAGGATGTAATGGAATGTCAATAAAAGGAAACAATCTGCCATTAAAAAGTCAATATGTTTTGCTAATACGACCAATACATGCAACCACAACTTAAAAAATAACATTATAAATATAAAATAGTATAACCAATAGTCTTGGAGTATTGAGATTCTAACCCTAGCTTGAATTTACTAGCTTCAATACAACAGGACACTTTTAAGAGTCTGTTAACACTAACTTAGGTATTTATAAAAACAAATTGTTTTTGCTGTTGTTTTTAAAAGTAATACTTTTGATTGAGACCAAAGTAACTGAAAAATTGGACAAATCAGTTTCATATCTGTAGGTTTTGCTTTTCTGGGACAAAAAGGAGCTAGGGAAAAAATAAAAAGTTATGTTTTTTCTTCCAATGTTCTTGTTTACCACTGATTCATGTTTAACATCTACATTTATTTAGTAACAGATTTACCTGTGTTTCCTTTTCTTCTTTCTTGGAGGGGTATCAACATCTTCAGCAGGAGCTGGAGCAATAATACTAGATTCCTTTACTCTAAACTCATACACCTAACAAGAGATACCATAACATATCCACGATGAATCTCTCACTGGTAGAAAATGGCTCATTTTCTACTTTAAATGACTTCCTCCAACATTTTACAAATTGTATCCAATCATAAAATCACCTCCCTGTGTATCTAAAGGTATGCAAACAATTTACTGCAGGGTAGGGGTGGGTGGGGCTTTATCATAATACATCAGCTGCATTCCAATAATGGTCTCTGGGTATGCTCTTACCCTATGGTAAGTGGAAGCTTAACAGAAATAGCTTTCCCTTCTTTAACTGAAGACTAAGCTACCATGGATCTGCTTCGCTTGCCACAAGGTAACATCATGCACATGGGCACCTACTGCAGAACACCTAAAAAATATCAATAAAATCCCACCCCTTTTGCCTGATGGTAAATCGCTCATATGTCTATACCCTAAGACTTACTATATAATTTTAATTTCGGGTCATTTAAGAACAGGTATTTATGCAAAATTTAGATAAATACAATTCCAATAATATATTAAAGTCTCTAATGTTTACACGTTTGTGGAATTAACTTCAGATGACAGCATTCTCAGGAAAACCAATATAGTTAACAAATGTTCTTTAAGGAATGGAAATAGTATTGATGTTTTTCCCTCCAGTGTGGTAGAAAAATCACATGCTGCCATCTCAGTGAGCCTTTTCTACTTCTTACCTGCCTACACGTTTTGGTCCCAATTAACCTGGCAATTGCACAAAAGTTGTCATAGTAGGTGCCAATAAGAACTCTGAACATTGAGGCTTCTGCACCACTCCACTCCACATTCTCAGGAGGCTCAATATTTGGCTTCATCTTAATTGGTGTTTGACACCTAGAATTTGCTTCTGCAACAATCAAAAGATATCTATCAGTTTAAGCTGGTTTTACAATTTAACGCTTTCCATGAACCTTCAAAAATATCAAGTCATGGATTTAAGATATGAGAATGAAGTTCTGTTGTAAAGTATCTACAATATTTTTCCAGTGGAAAAACGCAACAAATTGAGAACCCTTCACATACCTATTTGAGAAACTACAGACAGATAGTGGAAAGAACTGAGACAGCAGTATAAAATAACTATTCTGAACTTTCATCATAGGACTCTGTGACAAAACTACTCATACGTAGTCTTCTAGTTCAAGGGTCAGGAACCTTTTCTCGGTGTGGGCTGCAAGTATGCGCCCCCTGGTGTGGCCAGCAGCCTGCAGCTGCCCTCACCACTGAACCCCAACTGCTCTGTAGCAACAGCAAGTACAGACACAACAGAGCAGTAGGCTCCACATTGAAGAGAAGCACTGTGGAGAGAATGGGCAGCATAATGCAGCCCTGTGCCACCGAGCACTTCCAGATAGACTTGACCTTCATGGGTTGGATCTGACCTCTTTGCAGACCAGATCTCATCCAGAGCCATTTGTTGCCAATCCCTGATCAGTAAAAAGCCCACTTAGATTTAAAATACATAGGTTTTAAAGCTGGTTTGCAATGCTCTGAGCCCTCCTCAAAACTGCACTTTTAAGTTGTACATTTGACTCTTAACATTATCATTTCCTGACTACCAAGTCTGTATGCAACAATCACACATTCCAATGAAATATTTCATTATGCATTATTTAACATGTTTGCAGCTCCTTTATTAAAACATTATTCAGCCTTACCAGAGGAGCTGGATGTTTCATCTTTCTTCTCCTCCTCCTCTTTATCATTATTTTCACCTCCAGTTTCAGTTCCAGCCTCCCGGTCACTATCAGTGTCCTTTGATTCCAGCACATTTATTGTTGGTGTGCTGGGTCTACTGGTGTTGTTATTTGGAAGTCTTCCCCTTCGGCGACCACCTGGGCGCTTTGGTGGTGTTTTAATACGCTCAGCAGTGAGTGCGGCTGCAAACTCCTTCGCCCCTTCCTATGTAAAACAACACTAGAGTTTTCAGATCATGAATTTGAAATATTTTAAATTTGTGGGTAGAAAAAAAAAAAGATGGGAATGAATGCTGAATTACTCCAGGCCCAAGTATGCATTATTCTACATTAATATGCATTTTACAATTTTAAACTTCAGCTAAAATGTTCACTTTTTTATTCATGTATATATTTTTATCTAGGATGCTTTTGCAATTCTATTCCAACACAGGCTCATTGAAAATATGAAGGTTATCATTAGTAGAACATATTTAGGAGACCTAATTTTATTTTGTTTTCCCTTTATCCAAACAAATGAAAAATAATTTGAGGGAAGAACAATATTTTCCTGCGCAAATTCCACTATGAACAAGAGATGCTAGGAACTATCAGAACATAATGACTAAAAGTGTTCTAATTTTACACAGCTCTACTTGTGCTAGTTGTCTTTGAAGTGGCATGGAATCTAAGAATGTATTTTAAATGATTTCTAGATTACAGAATTACATTTGGGTTATTCTGTTGAACAGCTAACCTGAGAAAGGTGTAAAGAATGGAATGGAAACTTAATCAACTTAGGGCTGATACAGTCCAAAAGCAGATGGCACTGTTTTCGCCACATTAGCTTCATCAGGATGCAAAGACTGGGAAACCTCTCTGTTGATGAAACAGTGTCTCCAGTTTAGAATTTAAAATTAAATGAAAAATAATTTAAATTATGCCCCCCCGCTGCTATCCCATAAACAGCTGAAGTCACACATGAGTAGGGAAACTAAGGTTTGGATGCAACACCATTACAGGGAAAGCTATATGTACTGTCAAAGATGCCTTTTTTTTTTTTTTTTTTTTTTTTTTTTTTTAAATCTGAGCCTAACATTGCGCATCTTATGCAGGTAAAAGAAATTCAATTTCCCAATATGGAGTTACTAGTCCTTGATGCTAACACCCTTACTCTCACAAAAAAAAATACCGTGAAACATTTGACTGAAAGAAATCTTCCACACCCCAAGGAATTACATTGAGTTACTGCGTATACTTACATGTCCATACTGCAGGGGTAATGGTATTTATGCACAGATAGTAATCCTAAAGTCACCCTTTATGCAATTGGAAAACTGTCAATTAGTTGCACCAAATAAAAGAATTTTTCCCGTGATTCATATCCAAGTATACATGGACACAGAGCAAGGGAAAAAAAAAAATCTCCCAACCCTGCAATCAAAGAAATTATCTTACCAGATGCTGATAACAGTGCGGTCCACAAGGTTTATTATCTATTGCTGTTTCTGTATTCTTCCGCTTGTAAGTGTTAGGAGTTGCATGGAATGCTGTCAAATAAAAACATTACAAGCGAGTCATAAAACAAACAAACAACAAATAAAATAAATAAAAGGGTCTCTCGCTCAGTTTCGTCTAAGATTGAAACCAGACCAAGTACCAGACCTTTAACATGGCAATACTGGTAATAGGCAGGGGAGAAATTAAGTGATATTTAATTTGTTATTCAAAGAAAGAAGCCAAGAAAGCAGGTAAATAAAACTTTAGAAAGCTAAGTGTAAGTACTTATTCAGATCAGTATCATAATGTAGACTATTATTCTTCTCTCTCCTATAAGCATTTTTTTTTTTTGAGGGGGAGAGATGCAGCAGTTTATACCACTAGCATCATTTTCATTCTGGGATTATTTTTATAAACATACATTTTACATCCAGTACAAAGACCAGGACTGATCATAGCTAATACCTACAGAGTCAATTCTTATTTGGTCCGTCTTTGGAAAGACAGTGGACTCATTTTGCCATTCACATTAAGCCTCCTTTACATTACTCATAGGGTGAAGGCATCTTACTTTAAAAAAAAAAAAGCATCCAAGGATTCACACTGAACTTCAGTGGGACATCTTAACAGCTATACAAAAGATAACCTCAAAGTAGCTACCCCACACACACTTTTAGACATCCAGACTTCCATGTTTTTGCTGTTAATCAACTAATTAGGGATGAAAAACTTGTGCAGAGACAGTCAATAGAACCCAGGGTCCTAAGTTGTTTAGAGGCTTTTTAAAATTTCTCTCACAGGTTTCCACATTGCTCTTATTCCGATAGTGCTCTAATACTCAAAGAATAAAATGGACAGACATTTCCACTTTTTTTTTTCCAAGGAGGAAATAAAATACCACTTTCAAAGTCTACTTTCTATATCATAGCAAGCAGCAAGGAGTATACACCTTTTGTTATGGTTCACTTTTATTATTTTAAGAGACAGGTCATATTCATTTGTTCAAAACATACTTAGCTCTCTTGACCACAGATCAGGGTCACCATGGGAGCATAATCTAGATGAGCTTCCAAGCTAATACCTTTCTGTACTAACTGTGTCAAAACTAAACAAAAAAACAGAAAGGAAAATGAAATCAACTCCTTGTCCGAGATACTCAGTGAAAGAGGAAAAACTGGTAAAAAACAGATCTCTTGTTTTTGTTTCCAATGGATTATTATAAAGATTAAGGAAAATAAATGTTTACAGAAATGTTTAAGATGATGTCATTATTAGTATGATATCTACCCTGAATTCAGAGTGCTCTGTTACCCCCCCCCCCAAAAAAAAATAAATCATTTTCTTAAAAGTCAATACTTATATAAAATTAACCATAAGGTAGAAAGCTAATAAATCCCACCTGTGATCCTACTTATAGCCTAGAGTGAGAATCAAACTCTTAGAGGATCATTAATCTCTATTTAGAATCTAACATACATAAATATTTATTATTAGAGCAATTAAAATAATTACCACTATAATCTTTTACAGGTTTGCTGCATTAAGTAACAGCAGTATGTACATTTCCCTCTATCCTTAGAATAGGAACACTTTAGTAACATTAACTGTTCTTTCTTAAAAGTAATTAAGATTTAACAAACAGCCACTATGCATAAACAAGATTTGTGCTCAAGTCCCAATGGTAAACAATTTAATTCTGTAGTGCAAATGTTATACTTCAATTGCATAACACAGAAGATAACATTCATTTTGTTATAATATTACATACAGAAAAGAAGTTTAAACTTTCCACAATTTCAAGACAACCAAAGCACTAAACATACTTGACCAACCAGCTAGTATAAACTGATGTAGCACTACTGACTGCATGTGAAGACACTATTAACCAGTGGTTCTCAACCTTTTTTGGGGAGAGGCGGGATGACTCATGGCACCCCATATTAGACTCAAGGCACCCGTCACAATCCCAGCTCTTAGCCTTCACTTGTTTCTTCTCTACAGCAACCGAAAAATTGCTCTGTTCTAAAGAACTCAGAAAAAGCATAGCTAGTCAGAATGTTTTTGACACTATATAAAGGGACTATATGAAATCTCTGGGTATATCTTGTGAACCATGTGTAGGTGTTTCCATATCTAACAGTGTTAATAGTGCGCAGTATCCTGTGACACCAGTATCATGATTAAAAATCATTGCTATGGACACAGCAAGTTGCACCAATTTACATTGGCTGGCAAGCTGGTCTGTTTAAAATGAGAACTGCTTAGGTATCTTTTAAACTGTCAGCCCAAAAGAATTTGCAGTTATTGTTTCCTTGTTCCATTTTAAAACAAATAATATCCAGTGGCAGAGTAGCCAATACATAGTATTACCACACTGACCCAAAAAAAGGGCAGGCAGGGGAAGAGATGCTATTCATGATTCTCAGATTCTGTTCCTAGCTATTAGTTTTGTATTGTTCTACAAACTTCACAAAATAAATCACAAGTCTAAGAAACTTTAATTCTTAAACATCCTAAAAATCTTCACATTCCCTCTGACAATGCTAGTTGTAAAGTGCTTACTGTAAGAAGCCACAAACTTGTTAAATAATTCCTTATGAAATATTTCATTGGAATGTGATTGTTACATACAGCCTCAAGTCAGGAAATGAAAATGTTAATAGTTGAACATACAACTTAAAAGGGGATAGAATTTAAGTATGCATATGAACATAATTAGAAAATTATCTCTGATTATACATCTCATGCAACTTTAGATGCATATAGTCATTATCATAATCCAGAGGAGCTTAACCCTGTCTCCCACTGTATGTACCCAGTGGCATCCCCCTGGGTCTTGAAATTTGGCAGAGGGGGGAAAACAGGCAATTAACAATGCCACCCCTACCCTGCTGCCAAATTTCCAAGCCCCACGTGAGCAGACTGGACCCAGGTCAGGGCACACCTACACTATGAACCAAATCCAGCCTGTGAAAAGGATACTACATATTTAATAGGTGTTCAGAAGTTTAATCAATTAATAAAAGTGCTTAAAACCTTTCAGAGATAAAAAAAAAATTAAGTGCAGATTGACGTGAAGCTGTATCTGATCAAATAATTTTGTACTCTTCTTTTTAAAGAAATTATATGCCTTTTATTTGAAAACATTGCCATTTGCCCATTTGGCACCCACAATATATAGGCAAGTACAAAAGGAGTACAGCTACAAACAGAAAATCAGTTAGCGTAATTTGTGAGTTACTGTTAAAAGCAACTTTACACGTCTTTTTCGTCTACGTAAGAGATTTACACATACGCGTGCACACACACACACTTCAATTGTTCAGATGTCACATAGATAAAATACACAAAGAAACTTTACAAATCTGAAGATTCAACATCATCACTTTTGTTCATTTCTTTTCAGCTTTTAAAAGAAACGAAAGGGAGCAGGAAAACAGAAAGCAACGAAGTCTTGGAAAAGCTTTAAAATTTTCAGTGCTCAAGAAAAAAAGACTTATTTTCTCTTCATACCCAAAAGAAGATGGCTTTGCAGTAAAATGAGAACACAGCTGGGACCAAAGCTTGCAGTTTACCAGACTACAGCAATCTGCAGAAGTCAAAACTACTTTTGTTATATGTATTAGTTTCACACGGAGACATTTCTATTATAACAGCTTTTGGGTGGAGTTATATTTGTCCTCAAATTTGCCAATTTTTTTTTCCTGGTCAGCAGAAAAGCAAAAAAATTAAGAGGCTGCCATTTAATTTGTAACAGAACACAGCGAGGCACGCCAATATTCTAACACCCAGCACCACAAAGTTCACAAAAATAAGATTTGGAGATACACATACATTCATACATACATACTTCAAAACACTGCACCTGAAGAATTTAGTCTGTATCTATCAAGCAAAACAGCAGGGAGTATTTTGTCCTTAGTTTGTTTTAAAAGGGATGAAAAAGGTAAATTTGTCCAATCGGGTGTATCAACTTTTTGAAAACTGTTTTTTCTTCAGTGAAAAGGGCTTCTGCCCTCCCTCTCCTCACCCCACCCCCTCCAAAAGTGGAAGACTTTACAGATAGTTTCCTAAAAAATAAAATCAAACTTTGGATTCACATTTCTTCTAGAAATTCATTTTATAGCCAAGTCCTTTCAAACCAAAAAAGTTTCGTCTGTAGCTCTCATGCTTCATCCTGGGATTTATGATCTGTATCATCCCCAACAGGCTCAATCCTCAAGATTTCACTGAACCCTAATGATTTTACAATGTCCAAGCACATACGTAACATTTTAACTTGGAATGTACTTTTAATCCATAATAAACTATTTTGGAAATTCTCCCTACCTAATAATTTTCCTTCTAATATTCTTTGCAAGCCCAGATGCTTAGATATAAATTCCTCACTACCAACACTGGATGTGAATAGACTGACCACTTATAATGATTTCATAGGGCAAGGTTAGAGGATTCAGCTGAACCATGGTAACAATTCCATTACTCCACAATAATTTACCACCTGTTTCATTCATGAGTAAAATTACTGCAATTTAGCAGTGGGCAGAACACAGTTGCAGAAGATCAACTGATACATGCCTGCAGCAGTAAGTCACCTACCTGTCCCTGTCTCCATTTGTCTGGTCTCAGACAACTGAACCATATTCTTTACAAATAAATTCTTACAGCTCTTACAGCTCTGGTTCCTTCAA